AAATAAAATTTACCTGGTATGTACCAATAATTTAATTATAAAAGTGAACTAGTAGAGTAATCTGATAATAAAGAAGACAATCAAATTGAAAATTTAGTAGATTTCAAATACATACATGTAAATTTTCATCATTATTAAAAATTAACCTAGTTCTACACATTAAAAGTGTACACAAATTTTAATAAAAAAGTGGTTTTATGCTTAATCAGATCACTTTTATCAGAAGGTTCATACGATAACTAAAGGTGGCCACATACCTTAAAAGTTTACACATTTTATACCAGTACCAATGTACAGTTTGATTTATTTTATTGCAAACTATGGAAAACGGCAGTATTAAAGAGTCTGAATTTGCGCAATTATATCAATTAATATTAAAAGCCAACAAAGAGCAAACTGAAGAATTGAAATTAGAACTACAAAAAACTACAAATTCACTTACTAAAAAAGTGAATGATGCAAATAACGAAATATCAATATTAAAACAAAAGTGCCAAGAACTTGAAAGAAGAGCTAAGAAAAATAATATTGTAATTTTCGGCATTAAAATTGAGGAAGGGGAAAATATTATAGATAAGACTGTAGGAACGTTAAATGACAATCTAGATTGTAATATAAAGCACAGTGAAATAAATAATATATTTAAACTTGGAAAATCTGAAAACGCTCCAGTATTGGTAGAATTCGCTACATATCTAAAAAAATCAACTTTGTTTAAAGATATTAATAAATTAAAAGAGCTTAGAAAAAAGGGCTTGTCTTTAAGCGATGATCTCTCTAAGGAAGATCGAGAAAAAATAAATATTTTAACATCAGAAAACTGCCAAAGAAAAAAATTTAGATGCTAAAATTAAGGGTTTTAAGCTGATTATCGATGGAAAATCATATTCTATAGATGAATTAGAAGAAAGATCTGGAAGCGAAGACGAAGAAGATCTAATTTGTAAATTTATTTATACAATATAGTTTCTTTTTTTCACAAATTAGTTTCATAGTTTTTCATAGTTTCTGTAATAATTAGTAAAGAAATGTCTAAGTTAATAAAAGTGTGTCATGTAAACACACGATCGATTTTAAATAAATTTGTAAAATTTAGAGATTCGGTTTATAATAAATATGATATAATAACGGTTTCAGAGTCTTGGCTAAAACCTGAAATTGATAATGATATTGTGTCTCTGCCTGGTTACAAAATATACAGAAATGACCGTTTAAATATAAGAGGTGGGGGAGTTGTTATTTATTTAAAGAATAATATTAAATCTAAATTAATTTCTGGTCTAGGGATAACTAGTGAACAGTTGTGGCTAACAATTGAAATTGAACATAAAGAATATACTCTTGGCACCCTATATTTGTCACATAATAGATTCTATGAGGCATTTCTAAATGATTTTGAAAATGTTTTGAGTAATGTTTTACATACACATGACTATATATTGTGTTTAGGAGATTTCAATATTGATAACTTAGACCCAGAGACTATTGAGTGCAAAAAATTACAAAACATTTTGGATGTTTTTGATCTAAAACAATTAATTGACCAACCAACTAGAATTAGCTCAACAAGTATGTCATTGCTAGATTTAATAATATGTTCAAATGATCTTCCTGTTAAACAAGCAGATGTACATCAGCCTTTTTCTGATCACAGTTTAGTTTCGTGTATTATTCAAGCAAAAACAGATAAAATGAAACCTTTTATGTACACTTTCAGGGATTATACTAACTTTGATGAAATAAGCTTACATGATGATATAAGAAACGGTAATTTAAATAGAATTTATACATCTTCCAATATTAATGATAAAGTGAATATTCTCAGTAATACTCTTAAAAACACTTTTAATGATTGTGCTCCAATTAAAACTGTTAGAATTAAAAAGAAAAAATCTCCATGGTTAACGGACAACTTACGTTTAATGATGTCACTAAGAGACAAAGCTTTGGCTAGATACAAGAAAACGAAATTAATGCATCATATTATAAAGAATTACGAAATTACACAAACGGTGCAATTTCTCGTGAAAAAAGGCATATTTGGAATTTCGTTTTCGACATAGTAACCCAAAGGAAATGTGGAAAGACTTACGTGAACTAAACATTTATAGTATAAATAAAAATAATGACATTCCATTTTTACAGGACCTAAACAGAATTAATAAATTTTTCATAGACTCTTCAAAAAGTGATTCTAAAACTGATACTGATCTCATGTCTTACTATGGACAAAACTTAGCTCATAACAATATCTTGAAACTTGTCACAACTAATGAGGCAGACATATTTTTTGTACTATTAACAATAAAATCCAAAGCTGTAGGTGTAGACAGTATTAGTATAGAAATGTTGCTGCATTGTTGTCCAATCATATTACCTTACGTGACACATATTTTTAACTATTGCATAATTAAGAATGTTTACCCTGCTATGTGGAAACGTGCTCTTGTAATCCCATTGGCAAAAATGTCAAATCCCAGTAGTCCTAAAGATCTGAGACCAATTAGTATTTTATGCGCAATTTCTAAAGCTTTTGAAAAAATAATCAATAAACAACTAATATCTTTTTTGAACACCAATAATATTTTACCTCCGCATCAGTCCGGTTACAGATATTTGCACAGTTGTACTACAGCTTTGTTAAAAGTTACTGATGATATTCATAATGCTTTGGATGAAAATAAAATGGTCGCGTTAATTTTGTTAGATTATTCGAAAGCTTTTGATCGAATAAATCACCAATTACTCTTATCAATTTTGCATTACATAGGTTGTGATAATAATAGTGTTAATTTATTTCGTAATTATTTGAGTAATCGTCAACAAGCTGTAATTTATAATTCGTCTTCTTCTGTGTTTTCACAAGTAAACAATGGAGTGCCGCAAGGATCCATTTTAGGTCCTATTTTATTTATAATTTATACATTAGATTTTTATAAAAAACTTAATTTCTGCTCGTCTCATTTTTATGCTGACGATACACAATTGTATCATACATTTTCTGAGGAAAACGTCGATATTGCTTGCCAACAGATCAATCAAGATATTGAGTTTCTCATTAATATGTCAAATAAATTTTGTCTTTCAATTAATAGCACTAAATCAGTAGCCATACTTTTTGGAAAAAGCGCTCTTAGAAATAGATGTATCGAAAAATTAAAAATAAATGTAGGAAGAGATGAGTTAAATATCGTAAACTCTGTCAAAAACCTAGGCTTGATGGTTGACTCCGATCTACGTTTTACATCTCATGTCACAATGATGCTTCGAAGAGCTTTTGCAAATCTAAAACTAATATATGGTAGCAGGGGTGTATTAACTAAAAAAACAAAAATCATGCTTTGTGAAGCACTCGTGTTATCCCACTTAAATTACGGGGATGTAGTATTTGGGCCTGGACTTTTGAAAAGGGATCAATTAAGATTACAGCGAGTACAAAATTGTTGTATTCGGCTTATTTATAGTTTGAGAAGGTGCACACCAACTTCAAAATATTTAAAGGAATTGAAGTGGTTAAATTTAGCAGAACGACGAGTTTTACATGAATGCTTACTTTATCACAAAATTATAGTTACTGAAACACCAGCTTATTTATATAGTAAAATTCGATTCAGAACGGACGTCCATAATTTAAATTTAAGGAATAGAGGTTGTCTAACTATGCCAAAACATAAATCAGTTTTGTTTGAAGGCTGCTTTTCTTATAACATTGTTAAGTTGTACAACTGGTTACCCGATGACTTGAAATTATTCACAGATCATATATTATTCAAGAATAAATTAAAAAATGTAATGCTAGATAGAAAATTACTAATAAATTCTGTAGGTCGATAGTTATAGTTTTTAGATAAATTTAAATTTTATATTCGTTTTTATTATATTAGTATTATTGTAATGTTATTATTGATATACTTACTGGTTCTTACTCATCTGGCTGATTTTTATTTTTTTATTTTTTAAGTTAAGATGTTAAATTGTTTACGGTTTTGGGTTTTCAATATTTTTTTCTCTCATATTCGTAAAGCCATATTGTGCTCTAGATTGAATAATTATTAAGTGAACATGCAGGGCACATCTATACATCGAAAGATGTATAGCTATGTCTATCATAATACTGGTTGAGTGGAAGAGCAAAACTCTGATTTTTATCAGAGATTTTGAACTCTGCCATTTGGCAAACTATTTGTATTTATATATTTTTTCTTTCTTTCTTTGTATCAGGTACTTAGTTTGGCCAATAAAAGCATTTATTATTATTATTATTATTATTATTATTATTATTATTATTATTATTATTATTATTATTATTATTATTATTATTATTATTATACCCCATCGTTTTTATTAAAATTCCAATTATTATATATCATTTCATATCCTGCTAGTTGGAATAAGTTTGTATCTAAAATTTTGTATGTTTCTGTAAAAATTATGCAATCGTACTCACAGTTCATTTGACTAAATTATATTTTTTGGTTATCTAAATTTTTGTTTAAGCTGCGTCTGTTTTGGTGGTATAATTTAAAAAATTCTTCTCTTCTCTTATTTTGATAAAAAACTAAATATCAATTTGGAACTAGATAAGCAATTTGATATTTATTGTAAAATTCCAATAAAAGACGGCTGTAGTTTTAAATGTATGTTACTGTAACTCAAGTATTTGAAGTTGATTTTTACCTAGATATGCACTCTTCTGCAACACACCTGCATTTATACTAGCTGTATTGCCTTATTAATTATTTTTCTATAAAAATTATATACTTGACTTGTTTTTTTTTTTTATTAATCAAACTTGACAATCAAATCTCAAATATATATAGTCATAGTAACAAAAAACAACATAAAATAAAATCTAACCTAGCAATGGCTTCTTAGATGCCTCTACCTCCATCTTGTTTACAATTTTGCGTTTTTTTTTTAACTTTAATTTCTTACTGCCTAATTGCAACAGGTGATTGTTTTAATATTAACATAATTTAAATTTGTGTTTTTTTTTTCAGGTATACGGAATGCAACGCCCAAAATGGACGAACCATGGACCCAGATCCGCAAGATCTCTTTAGCGACATTCACCATCGTTCTCTGCCTTTCGCTTCTAGTCAATTCCTGCGAAATCGACCAAAAAATTAGTGATGACAGTGACTTAGAGACAGAATTAAAAAATTACGTGGACAATGTGTTTAGTGTAAACGACCTTAGTATAGTGCCAGGAATTAAAATCGAAGCAGTACGCGCACGCGATGGTGTTAACAGGACATTTATGGACGGTTGTCAAAGCGGAAGGAGTTTGGAAGGATTACAGGAGTATGTCGATAGGAAGATCGATCAGTTTACTAATCGTCATACGTTGTCTGTGAATGTTCCTGAGACGGCGAGGTTCTTATTTTCATCAGGTAAGGTTTGGTTGTAAAATGTATGCATTTACTAGCAGTGAGAAAAACACTGAAGGCTCATATTTTCAATTCAGAAGTTCACATTGATGTTAGATTTTTTATACTTGCTGGAAAAAATTTAGTTTTTTCTTTAATTTTATTACGCCAATAAATAGATAATACAAATACAAACAGCTTTTCTTTTCTCCAAAAATAATGAAATATCAACCCCTCTCTAAAATCCTTATTTCATATATGCATTTAAAATGGAATTTAGAAAAGTTGTTTATATTTGTATTATCTATTTATTGGCTTAATAAAATTAAAGAAACAACAAAATGTTTTCCAGCTCCAAAAATAATGAAATATCAACCCCTCTCTAAAATCCTTATTTCATATATAGCATTCAAAATGGAATTAAGAAAAGTTGTTTGTATTTGTATTATCTATTTATAGGCGTAATAAAATTAAAGAAAAAACTAAATTTTTTCCAGCTCTAAAAATAATGAAATATCAACCCCTCTCTAAAATCCTTATTTCATATATAGCATTCAAAATGGAATAAAGAAAATTTGTTTGTATTTGTATTATCTATCGATTGGCGTAATAAAATTTAAGAAAAAACAAAATTTTTTCCAGCTCCAAAAATAATGAAATATCAACCCCTCTCTAAAATCCTTATTTCATATATAGCATTCAAAATGGAATTATGAAAAGTTGTTTGTATTTGTATTATCTATTTATAGGCGTAATAAAATTAAAGAAAAAACAAAATTTTTTCCAGCTCTAAAAATAATGAAATATCAACCCCTCTCTAAAATCCTTATTTCATGTATAGAATTCAAAATGGAATAAAGAAAATTTGTTTGTATTTGTAATATCTATCGATTGGCGTAATAAAATTAAAGAAAAAACAAAATTTTTTCCAGCTCCAAAAATAATGAATTATCAACCCCTCTCTAAAATATTTATTTCATGTATAGAATTCAAAATGGAATTAAGAAAAGTTGTTTGTATTTGTATTATCTATCGATTGGCTTGATAAAATTAAAGAAAAACATTTTTTAGCACCAAAAATATTGAAATTTCATCTCTTTATTTCCTTAATATAATTCTATAAGGGTTAATGAAAACAATTAACATTATTCTGAAGGTGTAGTAATCTTTAAACTAAAATTTAGAACGAATAATTATTGTCGTAAAAGAATATTTTTCAACCGCTGGCGCTTTGAGCTTCGGCTGGTTTTGGAGCTGGCTGGCTAGGAGCTAACATGACACAGGTAAATCTGCAGCTGCCGTGACAGCTTCAATGAAATTTTTAAATCAAGTGGATTCAGAAGAGGTAAAAATATTGTCCAAATATGATTTGAAGCAAACCTAGTTAGTCTTTTTTTCGTACCAAATATCTAAAGGAAGCACCTTCTGTTTATCGGGATTATTTGTAATAGTTATTAGGATAGGAAGATGATCAGAACTCATAGTATCAGAAATTGTTTTCTATCCTCATTTAGGCACATTGGCAAAGAAAAGCAAGGTCTAAAGTAAAAGGAGGTGTATTTGGGGCACAAATTCGTGTGGGAGAGCCATTATTTAAAACAACTTAATTTAGGTTAACTGGACCTAAACCACTGCTATCTTTAGTAATACTATCCCATAAAGAATGATAACAATTAAAACATCCACAGATTAATACTAGTGAGTTGAAATGAGATAAGAGGTTTTCCCAGTTAGTAGTTAAAATGTTGTTATTTTTCGAACCATTGTATTGTATTGAAATTTTAGATTTTTCCAGTTGAACAACACATGTTTCAATTTTATTGTTGTAATTTTGATTTATTTGTAATTGCTTGAATGTTATATTATTGGAAACGAAACGCCACCATACCCATCTCCTCGATTTTTTGACATTAATGAATATCCGTTAATAGAATTGTTTTGGCCATTTTTAAACCAAGTCTCAGATATTATGACAATATCTACATCTTTTTTTTTAATTAATTTAAAATTAGGTTTATTTTTATTTAAAGGTCTTGAATTTTTTAAATGACATGTTGTTATTTGCCATTTTTCTTGAATTTTTCTCTGTTGTATGTAGTAAGGACAATCTTTGGACATGGAGGACTATTGATTTTGCAATACAAGCAGAAAATATTATTTGCATTATGAACCGATGTGCAAATTTTGCATCTAGCTTCTTTAGCCTTGCATAATTTGGATGTATTGAAGTAGTATTATAAATACAGAATAAAAAGAAATACTTACTTTTGAACAACAATATCTTATTCAGGTTCGTTTCTATAATTACAGGCAACAAAAATAATCCATAAAATTAAAAAAATTAAATCCAAACGCCATACGTTTCTTCCTAAAAAAAAATATAACACCCTGTATAGTTATTTTTTTTAATGCAATGTAAGAAAAAAAAGCAGAATTTGATAGATATAAGGTAAAATTGGTTTATTTAACAAGCAACAAATATTTTGATAGCTGAATGGGAGTTAGATTTAAGCAAATTTTATCATTAAAGTTTGAATTCAATTATTATAAAGTCATTTTGTGATCCAATTATAGTTTATTATTAAAATACAAACCTTGATGATGTCATAATTTGAAGTAATTTCTATTGGTTTCTAAAACCTCAGTAAGCATAAAGGGAGGTTTGGTCCATAGCAACCCCTAGTTACGCGATAAATAAGGACTTCTAGAAAATCTAAAATGGAGACGAAAAAAAGGTGTCACCTGCAAGAAAATTAGTTTAAAAAAATCAATAAATATTGATTTGGATAATTTAAACAGTATAAAAAATATTAAGTAAGTCAATGACATACAATTTATAAATAATATTGCATTGTATGAATGAATTTATAAAGAAAAATTTCAACTTACCGGCCACAAAGTGTCTTTAAAGGATTTGAAGTGTCTCATCCAAAGAAAGAATCCGATATAACGTAAGTGCAAGCAGATCAATTCCCATATTTCACATTATTGAGTCATGTGTGCTACAAACAAATAAACCCAGTGCACATTATAAGTTAAAAGAAAATATAAACACTAAAGAAAGGATATTTCATTCTTTAAAAGTTTCATATAGTTACCTAAAGCTTGTGAAGATAAGCGAAAACAGTGTAGATAGTTTAAAAAACTTTTCTTTATTACAAATACACATTCTGATATTATTTCAATAGAAATATAGGTTATGTTGTGAAACAGGATAGAAAATAGAAAGTATTTTCGTGATTTTTATTCAGAGCAATATAAAGTCATTTCAATTTTCGATATTTGCAACGCAAATAAATGTTCTTACTTAAATTTCTACTCAACAGAGGTTATGAATAGTAATCTATCTGGTACTTACGAGGTTTATTCGTAGATGGTAGCATGATCTTGCGTTTTGCGTGTATAGTAGGTGACGCAGAGAAATTAAAATTTAAAATAATCTGGATAAAAAAAGGAATACAAATTATAAATTTTGATCAAAATTTTTAATAATTTCACGAATATACAGTAAGGTGTACAAATTAGTTTAAAGAATTTTACTTATATGAATGTTCATTGTTATTTATGTCAAATTGTGTTTTATTTTCATTTTATAAAAAAAAAAAATCTGTTATTTGAATCTTGAATGATAATTATCATTATTATCAGAGTATTTGAAGTGTTTAGAGCGCCAATAGAACCCAACCTGGGATAAGAGCCCAAAAGGTAAGTGGGAAACTTACCATAAATATTAAATTTAAACTATTTTGTTAAATCTATATAAAAACGACTGAGCATAGTTTTATAAAGGGAAGTTTTGGTTTTCTTTTCGATAAAATAAAAAAAAACAAATTAAATAAAAATAAATATAAAATAAACCAAAACACTATATCCGTATCTCAAACAACGCATACATTGGATGAATATATTTTTCGACAGGGAAGTGTGATAAATGTATTTTGACTGACTGGGGAATTGAGTTGTCTAAAAAGGTCACAATAATCATTTGACGCGGAACATATTGTACATTACCATCTGAATCTATAAGTTTCCTTTTCATTCTCTGCAAGTTAATGACTTCATTATTAGATTCAGATTCAGATTTAAGATAAACTACGTCAAAAAATGTATGAATTTCATAAATAACACCTTTTTTAAATAAAAAATTTTGCGATATAAGCGATAAGATTGTTACGTTTAATACAATCATGGTTAATATGAGAATTTGCAATTTAGTAAGTATTAAAAATTACTTTAACTCTATTTTTACCTACTGATTTTATGTCCAAAATGTCTTTTTTAATTATAGATTCGGAAGGAAATAATGAACTACACGAACGGGAAATAATCTGTCAATATTTTTGTCTAGATGTTCAACAAAAACAATATAAGGGCCTAAATCTTTATTTGTAAATTTGTTATCAAAATCGTATAACTGATTTGATTCTTTAGTCATAATCTGTTCTTGTGGCGACCCACTTGGATCTCCCGTTTGTGAAATCATAAAAAAATTGACTTTACGGAAAAAAATGTGACTAGAAAATTTTACTACAATTTATAGTTAAAAACTATTAATTATTGTAGCAATTGAATTGTCGAATAAAATGCTACAACAATAGGAAAGAAGTCCACAATGTTTAGTATATTTTACTATTGTTTGTAGAAGTAGAAATTTATTACAATTATCGTAATTACTACTACTTACTTCTGTAAAAATTTGTACAAATATTAATAATTATCTCTACAAAAAATAGTAATTTTCTCTACAAAAAATAGTAAGTAATACATCCCTTCTTATGAAAAAAAATTCAATTTTGTTCAAAAATATTCTATAATATTGTAGAACAAAACAAAACAGAATTCTGCTATTCGCCAACGTTTTCTGACGTCGATCATAAATAGCCGTTCGCCATGTTCACATTACAAAGCATGGTACATATACAAGTACCTATAACACATTATTATATTATAAGCACCGATGCGTTTGAGAAAATTTTAATAATAAATTCTATTGGTGGTAAGTACATTTATTATTGTTTCTGAAT